GCAATTGCTGCCTCAGAAGCAAGAGACAAATTATGAATCAAGAGTGATTTCTATGAAGCACATTCATAAAAGGCCATTGTAATTGTTGTATTTGAACAACACATTGAATGCATAATCATTGGAACAATTTACCAAGGGTCATGGTGAGTTCTCCATCACTGTAATTTTAACTCAAGATTGAATGTTTGTTGTGAGATATGCTTTAATAATTATTTTTGGGGAAGTTCTCTGGCCAGTGTTATAAGGAAGTCAGACTAGATGATCACAATAGTCACTTCTGGCCATTGAATCTAGGAATCAGTGAATGAATGATTTAATTTTTTTTTAATGTTTTGCATGGATTTCATGACAAGAAATTGCTCAGGGGAGATTTCCACAAAAATAAACACATTTCAGAAAGAAATCATTCTCACTCAAAGTTCTGCAAAGAACTTTCTTTCCCATTTCTCTTCCATACACACCCCTAAAATCCTTAAAGATGGAGACTGGGGGATTAAGAAGTTACTTAAAAAAACCCCGGCCAGGCGATGTTAACTACTCGAAGTGAGGCAACACAGAAGGAGTTTATCACTGCTTTAACACAATTGAAGTTAATAGGGACACTTGAAGGATGTTTTAATGATTATTCAGATGGTTCATCAATAGCAAGAAGCTCTTAAAGAAGAAATGCAGCTGAGTAAAAACACATGCTGTAAAATAAAGATACTTTTGTTTTAACAGGTGTTTGGAAAGAAAGACAGCTGCTTGCAGGACAGGCTATGGCATTTTCATGGATTTAGACATTTATTGTGCCTATATAATTTTTCTATACAAGTCCCTTATTATAGTGGTATTTTTCTTGCTAGCAAATATTATTGCTATTATGTAGTCACCTGCTGTATTAAAAAGGCTAATAAATCCAGCTTTTCATAGCATTTTGCTATGAGAATGATATTTCTACTCTCTTTTTCCATTGGGAGAAGAAGTTTAGGCTTCAGCTTTGGCTGATAAGGCATCTATGAAAAAAGTGTTCCTAGTCCATTCTGTATATTGTTAGGAAGAGGCACATTCATCACACAGCACTTTGAGTGCTGGCTTTGGGTGCTTGGTTGTAGAACTAAAAAAGCACCTTAACACTACAACAAACCAGCGAGGGTAGTGGCAGCAAAAAGCAGAACTTGCATAGCGAGTCTCCATTCTGTGTAGGCAGCATGGAGGCACCATATATTTAATAAACAACTGGCAAATGGAAACTGCTTCCTGAAGCCAAAAGGCCAAATAGAAAATGAATAAGCCTCCCACAGCTTGTCTCACACACACACCTTCTGTGTAGCCTTCCCAGCTACTGTTTATACATATAGACCTAGGTGCTTGTTGTCTACTAAGTATCTCATGATTCCTCCAAGCAGCTCTAATGACTCATTAAGCCTTGCTGACAGCTTGTTTGCAGCCAGAATGCCAAGCGGCAGTGATTGCTTGGGCGCCTGGTTTTATGGGCCAAGGTTTGGACATCTTGATTGCCGCATGTACAGAGGGCCTTGCCAACACCAAAACAGTCAACAATTATGAGATTGGGTTAAAAATCATGAGACTACTTTTTTTTTTTTTAAAGATAAGGCTCTGTTTATTTGCCTTCTGGTTTTGAGACTGTAGGGTAAGTCAGATCATGATTTCAGATCATTATTTCACTAGGAGGGTGGTGAAGCACTGAAATGGGTTACCTAGGGAGGTAGTGGAAGGTGGAATCTCCATAGAATCATAGAATATCAGGGTTGGAAGGGACCTCAGGAGGTCATCTAGTCCAACCCCCTGCTCAAAGCAGGACCAATCCCCAACTAAATCATCCCAGCCAGGGCTTCATCAAGACTGACCTTAATAACCTCTAAGGAAGGAGATTCCACCACCTCCCTAGGTAACCCATTCCAGTGCTTCACCACCCTCAGAGTGAAAAAGTTTTCCCTAATATCCAACCTAAACCTCCCCCACTGTAACTTGAGACCATTACTCCTTGTTCTGTCATCTGCTACTACTGAGAACAGTCTAGATCCATCCTCTTTGGAACCCCCTTTCAGGTAGTTGAAAGCAGCTATCAAATCCCCCCTCATTCTTCTCTTCTGCAGACTAAATAATCCCAGTTTCCTCAGCCTCTCCTCATAAACCATGTGTTCCAGCCCCCTAATCATTTTTGTTGCCCATTCTTCTTGTAGTATGGGGCCCCAAACTGGACACAGTACTCCAGATGAGGCCTCACCAATGCCGAATAGAGGGGAATGATCACGTACCTTGATCTACTGGCAATGTTCCTACTTATACAGCCCAAAATGCCATTAGCCTTCTTGGCAACAAGGGCACACTGTTGACTCATATCCAGCTTCTAGTCCACTGTAACTCCTAAGTCCTTTTCTGCAGAACTGCTGCCTAGCCACTTGGTTCTAGTCTGTAGCAGTGCATGGGATTCTTCTGTCCTAAGTGCAGGACTCTGCCCTTGTCCTTGTTGAACCTCATCAGATTTCTTTTGGCCCAATCCTCTAATTTCTCTAGGTATCTCTGTATGCTATCTCTACCCTCCAGCGTATCTACCTCTCCTCCCAGTTTAGTGTCATCTGCAAACTTGCTGACAGTGCAATCCACACCATCTCCCAGACATTAATGAAGATATTGAACAAAACCGGTCCCAGGATTGACCCTTTGGGCACTCCGCTTGATACTGGCTGCCAACTAGACATGGAGCCATTGATCACTACCTGTTGAGCCCGATGATCTAGCCAGCTTTCTATCCACCTTATGGTCCATTCATCCAGCTCATACTTCTTTAACTTGCTGGCAAGAATACTGTGGGAGACCGTATCAAAAGCTTTGCTAAAGTCAAGGAATAACACGTCCACTGCTTTCCCCTCATCCACAGAGCAAGTTTACTCATCATAGAAGGCAATCAGGTTGGTCAGGCATGACTTGCCCTTGGTGAATCCATGCTGACTGTTCCTGATCACTTTCCTCTCCTCAAAGTGCTTCAAAATTGATTCCTTAGAGGTTTTTAAGGCCAGCTTGACAAAGCTCTGGCTGGGATAATTTAGTTGGGGTTGGTCCTGTTTTGAGCAGGGGGTTGGACTAGATGACCTCCTGAGGTCTCTTCCAACTCTAATCTTCTATGATTCAAGCTGTTCTAGAAACTGCTTTTAAAAAATGAAAGATGAAATTTTTACACCACCACATGATTGCAGGAGCCTAGGCTTCAACAAAACACCAAGTATCATTAGAGCTGGCATTGCTGCAGAGTCCAGCCATCCTGCCACACACTCTAGGAAGTGTGTCCTTCCCTTGATATACTGGTTGAATTCCCATAGCTTTATTGGGATTTAAATATTTGTACTGAGGGTGAAATTTACCCGAGTGCCTAAGACCTGGGCAAGTTCTGTGCACCACCAAGATACATAAGCCTTGCCTTTCCCTTCTGCACCCAGGAGACTTCCTCCCTGAAAGCATAAACCACCCACACCCCACCCGTTTTAACAACTCACCCAAATATGTCATTCAAGTTCTTACAAAAGTAAGCACTTCTAGAGCCAACAGACTGCCAAAGAGACTGGCTGGATTCTAATTTCTCTCATGCAACAATCCACAACATTACCAGGCAGGTTCTGAATAAGGAGGGTGAAATCCTGTCATCATCCTCCCACCACCTCCTAAAAATAACCAAATCCTTGTTAGGTTTTGACTTGTGTAATGGGCAAACAGGATATGCACAAAGAATCAATATGGAATGGGGTTATCCCAGACCATTCCAGGCACATACACACACAGGTGCTCAACCCCCTCCACCCCTCCACCCCTGGCCCTGCCCCCACCCCTTCTTCCAAGCCCCCACCTCTGCCCCACCTCTTCCTGTCAAGTTCTGCCCCCTCTCCCGAGCGCCCCCTGTCCCTGCTCCTCCCCCCCAGTGCCACCTGCACACCACGGAACAGCTGATCGTGGTGGGCGGGAGGCACTGGGAGCAAGAGGGGAGGAGTTGATCGGTGGAGCTGCTAGCAGACAGGAGGTGCTGGGCAGGAGGGGACACCCACAGAATCAGCGCTTACACGCACGAGCACACACACACACACACACACACACTTTCAAGCATATTTCAAGTGTGCGCTATGTAACCAAGTTTTCTTCATGAACTAGGGATAAGTATAAAGGTCCCAATCCTGCAATGAGCGCCGGGGAGGTAGACTCCATTGGGCCATCAGTCTACCTGTGCATAGCTCAGTGCAAGATTGGGGCCAGAGGTATTATGGTTCATAAAGCAAAATATCTGAGTCAGGAACATTTTCTAGCATGCTCTTCCATGTGGTCTGGTGTAAATGGTTACCTGCCAGCATTCAGTGTTTTTGAGTGAGGAAAAAAAACAACAACCAATATACCCACATTGTTTGAGTGTTCAGGATAGGGAATTCATTTTTATTTCTTAAACAAACTGATGGTGGTTACAGTCTGTTTTCGTAACAGTTGCAAGCAGTTTCATTATACAGTTATGTCTAAGATACAGAAACAACTGAACTTAACTGAAGACAAAAGAAAACAAGCTGCAAATATGCTTAACAGAATCAACAGCTAAATGAGATCAGTAAATGTACTCATCATCACATCCCTTAATTTGATATTTGTGCACAGACATATCTTAAAATTCCAAACAAGCAGCTTACACCAATTAACTTGTTTAAAACAGATAATTTGTTTCGGTAATTTATATGGGTAAATAAAATTCATTTTCTACATGAAATTCCCTTAGTGCTTTATTTTTGGCATGCACGTTTCATTCCTCATGTGTGTATTCCATTTTAACAGAGTCTGTGTTTATTTTTTTAAGAACAAAGTAGATAAACTCAGTACAAAGCTTTGCGACATAGGCAACACCTGTTTCTGCTACACCTCCCTTCCTTACCCCTCTCTCTTTCTCCCCCACCTACCCCTCTCTCCAGGTGACTATGGTGAGCAACTAGCTCTCTGAGAGACTTGAACAGGACATACATATTGGTAGATGTGGGTGAATGCTTTAATGTTTATTAATCTAAAAATGAGAAAAGATTACAAAAATATAAGGAGTAGAAAACCTTAGACAAGTTAAAATACATAAATCTTTAAGCAAAGTTTGTTTTGATCAGGCAAAGTTTAATATATCAAATGTCACTCCAAAATAACAGGGATATAAACTAAACAAAATACATTATACTAACTATGTATTCAAAAGTGACAGTAAACCTTTTTTACCTAAGGACACTGTGCCATAGTTAGTAATCTGATTCGGTGCATTACAGCATCTACACAGAATAATTCCATTTAAGTATTGTTGATATTATAAAAATAACTATTTAAAATTATTATACGTAAACTAAAACAGATCTTCAGGTGTAGGTTTGATAATTATGATTTTGTTTTAATTAAATTCTTCAATATTCCCACTGATTTCACAAACCTGTGAAAATAAACACAAAACAAGAAAGTAATGCTGAAACCATTATATACAAAACAGAATGAGAAATCTCGATCCTTTACTGTGTTTGTGCAGGATTTCCCATATTTCCACATTGAATACTGTGACCTAAAATGAAGTGATGTACCACTCCATGGAGACCAAATAATGTGTCTGATGAATTCAGTGTCTAATCACTAAAATATCCATCAGCAGATGACAATTTCCATGATTTTATTCATTATTTGAAAGCATTTAACAAGGTTTTTAAAGTTATTGATGAATCGTGAGAAGCATGCAGTGTAGGAAGCCTGAGATGAGTTGGTTAATTGCAATTAATCAGATAAATCATACGACAATATTTCTGTTCCTGACTGAATAAGCAACCACCACGCAGCTGCAGGGTGAATACTTACCAGTGCAAATTTAAAATTCAGTTTCCACAAATACTTACATGTCCATGCAACTTTGATATTTGTTTTCTGCAAACATTGCTGGTAACAAAAGAATAACAGAGATGCTCACAGAAAGCAAAGATAGGAGTGTTCCTGCAAGTGGATCTGCTTGTGAAGATCCAGTGGCAGGCTCCATCCCATAAAAGGGACATGAAGACATCCAAACCAAATTCACGTGCAGACTTGAGGAAATATCCCTGAAGGTTTTTTTTTTTACCAGCCTTCTCCCAACTCTACTAAGCACAACGAGAACTAGCAAAGTACACTGATTTCATATTTATCCAATTATTCTGAGCACGCACAAATATACTACTCATCTGTTGGACCCAAGGAAGTGCCACACGAACAAACGACTTTAGTTGGAGATAACCAACCTGATCTACTTGTAACAAGATGTTTATGTTTCTCTTTCCCAAGGAGTAGGTCTGGATTTTACTCATGACTCTATCCTGCTTTGTACATGAGTATTCAACAGAATGCATCATAACAGAAATAACACCCGTGAAATACTAGCTAAGTCCTTATTGCACATTAACCTTATACTTATTTCATTAATTCCTTTCATCTTTAAGTTGAACTCAGAGGTTCTCATACTTCATTGCACCGTGACTCCCTTTTGACAACAAAAATTACTACAGGCCCCATCCCCCTGCATCTGCCATGTGGACTGAAGCCAAAGCCCAAGCCCTGCTGTCCCAGGGCTGGTATTAAATTTGCTGGGGACTGGGGCTAAAGCCACAACCCAAACCCTGCTTCACAGGGTCTGAAGCTGAAGTTTGAGACCCGCCACCCAGGGCTGAAGCCCTCGAGCTTCCGGGGGGAGAGCGGGGGCTCCGGCCGCCCTCCTCCCAGGGCTCCGGCCGCCCTTCCCCCCCCCCCCCCGCCAGGAGGGTTGGGGGTGGCCGGCGGCTTTTTTGCCTGGGGCGGCAAAAAAGCCAGAGCCGGCCCTGGGTCCAGAGACAGATGATGAAAGTTTTTAGAGGTCTGGAAACACTTCTACATGAGGAGAGATTGAAAAGATTGGGATTGTACAGTTTTTGGAGATTACAATGAAGATGTCATTATAGATATATGCAAAATAATGCATGGCATAAAGAACGTAAGTGGGGGACTCCTATATACTCTCATAATACAAGAATAAGACAACATTCAATTTTTTTTGTAACACAATGCATAATTAACCTCTGAAACTTGCTGCCACAAAATATTACTGAGGTCAAGACTTAAGTAGGATTTGAAACATGATTACACATTTATATGAATGAATTTATATGAATGTTACTGGACAATAAGATATAAGGGATACAATACTTCATGCTTCAGGGCATAAACCTACCTACCTACCATTAGTAGCCAAGGGTTATGGAATAACCTGTTCAAAAGGCAAATTTCTTCTTAATTGTCCATTATGTGTATTCTTACACCTTCCTCTGAAGCATCAGGCACTAGCCACTCTCCGAGATGGGATACTGTACAAGATGATTCAGCATGGCTATTCCTATAATACTATGCTTGAAAAACTGTCAAACACCCAACAGAGAGTGATATCTTCCTTAGATGCCATCAGGTCACTCAGGCAGGAAACAGCTTTGGAAAGGTACTTGACTAAAGCTACTGAAAGAGTCTGATTTTCTAATATAAGGGAGGGTGACAATTTAATGCTTGTACAGCTAGCACCTAGTGGGCCTAATTCTCCATTGACTAGTGGCAGGACACCAGAATAAAAATTATGAGTCACTGAAGTTGGTGAAGTAGCATAAGATCAGAATCAGGAGCTCTATTTGGAATGCAATATGCAAAACGTTAACTAACTAATTCTCACAATTTTACTGTGAGGTTGGCAGATGATATTACTCCCATTCTACAGACTGGGAAAATGAGACACAGAGAAGTTAGGTGGTATTTAGACACCACAGTGATAGGCACATTAGTATTGCATATTGAGAGATTAGGGGCTTGTCTACATGTCTCTGCACTGTGAATTGCAGCACACACTTAAGTGTTGCACCGTAACTGCCCAATGTAGATCCTCCTAGCCCAAACTAAAGGTACCTAGTTTGCATTAACATAGTCCTATTTAAAAGGGAACTATGTTAACATGAACTAGATACTTTTTAATTTGTGCTAAAGAGTAGTTACAGCACATTTTAATGCAAACTGCAATTCACCCTCCTGCTAAATAGACTGTGGATAGTGTAGACAAGCTGAAAGTGATTTACTCATGGGCCATATAGAGAGCCAATTTCATAGATCAGGGATTACAACTCAACAGTGCTAGCTCATGAAGTTTCCCACTAAAGGGGTTCCTCAGCCACAACTATTTCTTTTATATATATGATATATAAACATAACCCCTCCCAACTCTTCTTTCTCCCTAAACGTAAGCCTTTCCCACTTTGTGCTGTAGGGAGTTACTGCAGCTTTGAGTCGGAATAACTGCCAGTCTTGTAAAATGTATTACACAGATGTTGGAGGGATTTAAAGTTTTAAGAGTGTAGCACAGTCGTCTCCAAACTTTTTTGATCGCGCACCCCCATCAGTAAAAATTTTTTGACCACGCACCCCCTGCCGCGCCAGCTCTACCATTTTTGCTGAAGCTCCCGCCCCAAAAAAGCTCCTCCTGACACGCACCCCCAAGGATCCTCTTGTGCTCCCCACTTTGGAGACCACTAGTGTAGCATACTAAGGGCCGCAGAAAGAAATCAGCTCTTTTTTTCATGAACTCTTCACCTCCTGGTCACTTCTGTACATTGGGATCACAAAGTATTTTAAATTTTTCCTGGTTTCTGTGGCAATCTGACCCTTCTGCTGAAACAATCAGCCAGCTGTGAAACCAAGATATTGTCCAGACCTTATGCAGTGCAGAAGGGTATGCATACACGGTTTGATGCTCCCCTGCCATCCACCTTATGGAGTCATTTATACCGGTGCAAAGTGGGTGTAGGATGTTATGAAATGCTAGCAAGTCAGAATGGTATCTACTTTGCACTCGCTCTGTACAGGTGCTAATGTGCAGGGCAAAGGAGAATCAGGTTCATGGTTTCTTGAACTGAGCCCTTGGTGATCATAACTGAAGGAAAGTTAAGAAGATGTGACAAAAACTATAATAGGTTACAGAATATCATCTCTGCCTGTTGTGACAGTGCTCTGCTACTATAGTGATGGTTGTCATATAAGAACCAAGAAAGCTAGACAGATAGGGCTCAAACTTAACTCTGCACTGATCCCTTTGCACTGCTTCTGTAGTGCAAAGAAGCTAGAAAGCTGCCAGATCTCCCCAGCTGGGAATACTCTCTGCAGCCTCCAGTCCTCACGTAAAGGATTTATTGAAGAGACAAGGTGGGTGAGGTAATATCATTTTTTGGACCAACTTCTATTGGAGAGAGAGACAAGCTTGTCTCTCTCACCAACAGAAATTGGTCCAATAAAAGATAATACCTCACCCTTGTGCCTCTGATATCCTGAGACTAACATGGCTGTAATCTTCACAGGTGCCACAGGGCCACAGCCACCTGGGCATTAGTTAGAATAGCCAAGTTTGCTAAGGCCTCAATTCAGCAAAGCACTTAATGAGTTTAAAGTAGGTACTTAAAATTAAGTGTTAAGTACATCTCTACTCAAAAAATCCTTTCACCATGTGACTAACCTTAAGTGTGTGCTTTGGTGAATCAAGGCCTATGCATGGCATCCACTTGATTTAGTCAAAATTTGAAGGAATGTTGGTTGTGTTTTTGTGGAAAGTTTAGTCTTTTAGTCACATTGGCTACCTTTTTTAACTGACTAATTGTGACTAACCCTAAATAAGTCAGTAAAAACATTACTTTATTCTGTTAAATTCTTTAGTTAAAAAAATTATACCCACTTTAATTTCCTCAAAAGCTTTGCTTTTAGATGAATTAGCATTTTAGATAAATCATTTAACAATAAACATGTTGTTGAAACAACTTACATTTAAGTAACTCAAACCAGATAGTTCTTCAGATACAACCCAGAGTTGTTTTATTAATATATAGCTATTGGGACATTTTTATTATAACTTATATAGGTCACTTTATTTTATATTTGTGCTTTTCTTCTGATACAAACCTTTTTAGTATGACAAACTGCATTTTTCAAACAACCAAAATAAATAATAATTCATTGTTATCTTTTAAACTTAGCTGTATATATATTTTCTTCTGGTTTATAAATGAAGTAAAATTTTGTAGACTACAGGAAATGATGACTGGCCAGCCAATCTTTCCTAAAAGCCTAGAATCCCATTTGCAATGTTTATTTGAACATAAAGGGAAACCTTTTAAGTCTAATCTAGAAGTCAAACATTTATATCTATGTTACGGTATTTCTTGGCAGTTAATATAATGGATATTCGTATAGTTTCAATGAGGATGAATTCATTTTGCACTTTGAAATCTACAAAATTATAAAACTGTGACAGGAACCTGGAGTAATGAGGGATCTTTTTATGTGTAGGATTTTATGGATAGCCTCACTATCATCTTTTTAACTGATAAATTTCATTTATTGCTTTCCCAGCTTTGTTTTATATAATGTCTAAAAATGTTTGTATTCATTTATTCAGGGGCACATTTGGTGCCCCCCAAAAAGAACTTTTAATATCCCATTTCATATTTCAAAGATTATGAAAGTTTTCTGGCACGGATAACAATAGGATGAGCTCTGCAACCACAGAACCACCAGCCCCAGTCCTGCAAGCACATAATCACATGCTTTAGTGTTTGCAGTACAATAGTTTGTCAGGAAAAAATTATGCTGCTTCAACAAGTGACACTATGTAATGTCTGCCTAACTGGTGTTAGTTTTACAATTCACTTGACTGTGTCCATTAGAACTCTGATAAGAAGAAGCTTTAGAAAAAAAATGAGACAGCATAAATATTTGACTCTTATGAGATCACTATGTCATGGTCTCATTCCACATATGACTGTCAAGCAATGCCTGGGGAAGCAGCTGGCATCTCTCAAAATGGCACATAAAGAGTGGTATTTATTAGTATGGATATCAACTAAGGGCTCGGTTATGCCTCCCCCAAGTTGCTCTGCTGAGCCTCCTCCTGCCCAACATGACTAGAATAGGCTGTGCTGGCCTTTATACACTCATTCCCCATAGGGAGACCGTGTGGATGAGAGGTGCGTGCACTGACATTTCTCCCCTGGCCGAGCCATGCTCTCCTCGCTTCCTATATCTTGTACACTGCCATGGAGGGGCCTTCATGGAGCTAATTTTTATGCCACACAGGGGTTAAGGAACTGCTTTGCATACATACCTTACATCCAGATTGTTTCCTATAGAGGCAGCAGAGACTGGTTTTGCCTTAAATTCATACCTATTGGAAGAGAATGTGATGCTAAGGTGTGTTGCTCTACTCTCCCCCAGCAGTGTACGTGACAGGAGAGTAAAGATACTGACCAAAGGAAGCGTCTGTGTTCATGTAATAAATATTGCAATCAATAATTTTCACTGAGACTCTAGCTTTGCAACTCTTATTCTTGCTGAGTACCTTCAAAAAGAGGAAGGTTTAAAAAACAAAAACAAAACAACCCCCCCAAACCCAAACAAAAAACAAAACACATCCTGAGCCAGCGTAAATGTTTAACTTCTTGAGAGAACTGTCATACGCTTTTTCTACCAATGACTGACAAGCAGCTGGCATGTCTCACTATGGCATATCTAGAGTTATTTATTTGAATGGATACTAATTGAGGGCTCCAACATACCTGTATAGCACAACCCAATTCTCAGAAGTAAGGGCCCAATCCTTTCTAGTATCTGACGAAGCGAGGGGTTCCATTCTGCCAATAGTCTCAATCAGTAGGGCTTCTTATGGGGCAAGGTACTATTCAGCATGAATAAGAGTGGCAGAACTGAGCGCTCAGTGAGAAATGTAATGATGTGCCCTTTTAATGTGTCTTTTCTTTTGCTCTTTTGGGGTCTGACCCTGTCATCCTCACTCATGTTGAATACTCACATTTATTTTGCTACTTATTTGGTGCTATTCAGCATGGGTAAAGCTGGCAGAGTTGGGTCCTTTGCTTTGTTTCATCAGAGTTGATGACTGTCTCCCAAATTTTGTAGCCACTTTTTTTCCAAAATCAAGCTAGAAAAAGAATAGTCTAGCCATATAAAGATGTGGAAATTATCTTTATCAGAGACTTTTTATAAAAGCATTTAACCTGTGAATAAGGACACCAAAATTAGATTCTCTCGAACAAAATCTGAACTTCTTGTATTTGTAAACTTGGGCTGAGACTTGCTGGGTCTGCTACTCAGGGCAGAATAAAAAGAGAATCGGTGAGAGAAGGCTTCATCCTATGCCCACTGAAGTCAATTGTAAAGCTTCTATTGACTTCAAGTTCAATATGAGTAAAAATGTGGTGGAAAATCCCCTAACTCTTCTGTCCCTCAATTCAGGCTTGGTTTGAGGTCTATAACAGGGCTTAGACTGCAAATTCTTTCAGCCAGGTGCCATCTTTACATTGTGCACAGGTAATTTGAGCCATCCCCGCCTTTACCACAACACAAATAATAATGAACCAACCTTGCAGTATTTACTTTAATGTGTATGTGCTATATGAACCAGGCAGTACAGGGTCTGTTTTCAGGGTCAAGCACTGAATGAACTTCTGCAGGTTCACTGGGAGGTTCCGTTTCTTCCATTAAGGGATTTTTAGCTACTGTGAGATGCTATAGCCCGGTCCTGCTACCCTCTGAAGGGGAAGTTGCTTCTTGCCAGACCCAGAGACCCTAAGGAATTGGAAGCTTTTTTCTTATCACCTCTCCTTCTGAGAAGGGAGTGGCCACCATGCACTCTCTGAAGTCACAGGGGAAAGAAAAGCAAGCCACCAGGCATCTGAAGACAGCAGTGGTAAGGGGCGGAGGGGCTCTATGGTGGCATCTGAAGAGAAAAACGCATCAGCCCATGGCTGCTGATTTTTTGGTGGACCTAGGGTGCCATTTGAAATGAAAAGAGAATCTCAAGTCTTTCATCTTGTGCAAGTTCAAGGTTCTGTGCAAATGTAGCACATAGACCTAATGCAATCACCAGGAGTTCAGAGTATACAGAAAATCAAGGGAGAATAAACCCAGTAGCTGTAAGAGTTTTAATTGCTATAGAGATCATGACACTTTCTTCTGAACCCACACTAGGGTAAAGGTTAGGTAAAGATTAGGGTTCTTCTTTTGGGGGAGAAGGGCAGGTTAGGTTTTTTTTTGTTTAGTTATATTTTTAATATGGAGAGTTGAGTTAGACTCAAAGACTGGCACTAGAATGGCAACTACTACACTCACATGATATATCTATTGACTGTGGCCACAAATCATGAATGGATGATATTTACACTGAAAGGAAAAAAACATTGTTTTAGGTACCAAGCAACCATGTTGGTGACTATTTTTCTTTTCTTCATTGTCAAGTTTCTCTTTTCCCCCATTGTCTTTTCTTTTAATAAATAATGAGTTCCAGAAGTCTCTATCCTGGCATTTAATGTCAAAGAAAACTCATTTTCACTTTGCTCTAACTCAGGGGTCGGCAACGTTTGGCACACGGCTCGCCAGGGTAAGCACCCTGGCGGGCCGGGCCAGTTTATTTACCTGCTGATGCAGCAGGTTCGGCCGATCGCGGCCCCCCCGCTGGCCGCGGTTCGTTGTCCTGGGCCAATGGGGGCAGCGAGAAGCGGCGCAGGCGAGCAATGTGCTGGCTGCGGCTTCCCGCAGCCCCCATTGGCCCAGGACGGCGAACCGCGGCCAGTGGGGGCTGCGATTGGCCGAACCTGCCGCGTCAGCAGGTAAATAAACTGGCCCGGCCTGCCAGGGTGCTTACCCTGGCGAGCCGCGTACCAAATGTTGCCGATCCCTGCTCTAACTGATTTGAACCGTTAAAAAAAAGGATTTATTTCCAATTGTTTTGGGTTCTTCCTGTTCTATTTTACAAACTACGGGTAACATTTTAAAAAGCACCTAAATGACTTAGGCACTTAACTCAAACTTCCAAAAGTTCCTTAGGAACCTAAGACCCATTGATTTTCAATAATACTTCAGCTTCTAACCACCTAAGTCATTTCTGAAAATGGGACTTAGTTAGGGGGAGATTTTCAAAGGCACGAATGTCAGCTAGGCACCTATTTCCCACTAAAAAGTGATGGAAATTAGGCACTAAATTGCTATTTTTGCCTGTGAAAGTCTTCTTTTAGACTCATAAGTAAGCTGACGATTCTGTAAATGTTACCCAGTGAACCGCTCATTAGAAGATAAAATAAAAGAACACAAGGTGTCTGGATCATTTGTCTCCTAACTTTTTGCATTGTTAGAGGAATTTTCCCACTACCCAAGACTAGCTTTACACCTGGGTGCTATTATCTCAAAGAAGCCAAAGAATGTGGAAAATATTATCCTTATGTAATTTATTAAAAGCTGAGTCAAAGAACAGGTGTTACTATTGTAAAGATTAATTCAGCAGCTTTTCTGTTCAGACCCATAAATTATGAGCTTTCAGGCCCCTCAACACTAAATTACATATACAGTGTCCACGCAGACTTAAGTGTCATTTATTAACTTTACTCTAGAATGAAAAATGAAATTGAATCTGTCCATACTTTGCCAGCTGCACTACCTGCAGTGAGCACTGAAAACTGGTATCATTAGGTATGCCAGGCTTCCCATTGGCTCTTCACTTTACAGCCATTTCAGCACCTGGGTTTTGGCAGGTCCTATTTTCTAGCAGTTAAAGTTCTGAACCGTGGGCTTGGCTACAACACTAACATTCCATCTCCAGATGGTTGCTATTACCACATAATTATTTTTTTTTAAACTGATTTTTAACCCAATCTACCATTCTCAGATGTCACATACAGTGTAACATTGCTTAGATCAAACATTTTTTGTTCTCCTTTCTCTACCTATATTAGTACAAAGAATGACCTAACTTAAATAGTGCAATAGGTCATTATGCAAGATGATATGTAGGCATAAAATCAAGATGAGAGCATGTTACAGCCGAAATCATTTTCATAAAGGAAACTATTATTTACAATTATATATTTTTCCTTCTCTGTTCTCATTGTCAAAAGTTCTAGTTAAAACTAATTGTGTTGATAAGTGTCAAAGAGGTGTCAAAGATTTTGCAATAGATACACAGTGGGCTGAATTTAATTGCCACCTGGTCTGGCATTACTTGTGAACCCAAAGTGAAATTAACTCTTGCACAGAGGGCAAGCACAGGGTCCTCTTAGAACAGGCCGGGTGTACCTACACAGTAGCTGGCAAGGTGCTTCCCAGAACAGGTAAACAGACGTGCGCTAGCTCTGCTCAAACTAGTGTGCTAAAAATAGCAGGTTGCAGTGGCACCGGTGGGGGCTCAGGCTAGCTGTCTGAGTACATATCCAGGGAATTGGGTAGGACTGTACTCAGGATGCTAGTCCAAACCTCCACCCATGCCACTGTGGCCACACTGCTACTTTTAGAGTGCTAGCTCCAGCACAGTTCATGCATTTCTGTCTATCTGCTCTGGGAAGCATCCGTCTAGCTGCTGTGTAGACATACCCTTAGTTGTGAAGATCTGGGCCTTTACAAAGGGGTGCTTTTCACACACAGAACACCTGAATAAGTGAGAATTTCATGTTCACAAAAGGTTGACAAATTGGGCCTATAGGATACAGGCTAACAAAGGTAAAATAGCTAAAAGTGTAACAATGAGAGGGAAGGGGTACCTATTTTTTTACTTTGGGAATCTCAATGTGTAAATTGTAACATGAAAGTCAAACCACAGGCTAACTGTGCACTTGCAATATCAGCGTGAGCAGATGTAATTCTTCAATTTTTCAAGTGACATCATTTTGAAAAATGTATTCTGTTTATCAGACACGATCTTCATTAATTATACATTGCTCTCCAGTGACTATTCCTGTAGGAACCTGGCATTTCTTACTGTAATGCTGTTTGTTCAAGCAGTTCTAGTTCCATGTACAAAGTGCTCTAAGCACCTGATTAAACAGTCTGTTTTTTTTTTTTATAACCATAAAGCCAAAAATAGGTTAGGAAATAGCATACATTTTCAGCCTGACAGATCACAAGCTGCTATGCTTAAAATAAATTCAATTTGCAGAACATTTAACATTTCCAATAAGATTATTTATAGGAATTGCATAACCAGATATGATTGGTTAAAGCTTCAATGTATTAAGATTCATAGTGTGAATTACTTGTCTTTACTTGTTCTCTCATTTAGGTCATAATCCTGTTGACCTTTACTAACATGATTGGACCAACAGCCTTCAAAGGGACTATGCTCCTATAAGAGTATAAGAATGGCCCTACTGGGTCAGACCAAAGGTCCATCTATCCCAGTATCCTGTCTTCCGACAGTGGCCAATGCCAGATACTCCAGAGGGAATGAACAGAACAGGTAATCATCAAGTGATCCATCCCCTGTCGCTCATTCCCAGCTTCTGGCAAAATATACTATTATAAGGGCCACTCAAGAACTTGCAGGATCTTGACTGTAGGAATGTTTGTGTAAAGAAGTATTACATGTGCAATCCTTCAACCCTCACTCAGGTGAGTAATCATTATGAGAATAGCCCCACTGGAGTAACGATTACTTCTGTGAATAAGGGTGCAGGATTTGGCCCTATGAAAATGAGGGGAGGGGAGCATTTTTTACATATATTCTCTCAGGCACCATCAGCTCCCAACAAACATACTCACATTGATCTTGATCTGCTTCCACACCTTCACTCTCTGTGTCACTTGGCAATATCCATGGTTGGTGGGCAAGCTGAAATTGATGTAAGAATTCATCCTGTCATAAACAGATATATTTTAGATAAATTACATAGAAGCAAGCACTTCAATCTCAGTTAATTGGACATATGAAAGCCTCAATAAAATCCAGCACTCCCTCATCAAAATAACCCACAATTAAAATGGTTTTCAGATAAGGCAAGAAAATTTGGGGCTCATTTTATTTCTCCTGTTAATCTGAGAAAGGATTCGTTTTTGAATTAATATTGTGATGGATTCCTGTACACTTATCTTGGAAATACAGTCATACAAAACCCAGTGGAAACATCTTCTGAATGTCAGTACTCCATATATCCCAGTATTACCAGGACCATGTCCTGAGATACCATGCAATAAGAGGGGAACAGGTTTTGTTCCAATGGGGCTTGATCCTGCTCCCATGTAAGTCAAAGGCAAAACTCCCATTGACTTCTATAGTGCAAGATCAAAACTCAAAAACTTTACGCAAAGCCTACTGAAGTCAATGGAAATTTTTCCATTGACTTCAGTGGGAGAAGGAGCAGGACCATGAAGAATTATTTTAAACTTATTTTTACCTCCAACATATCACAAAGCTATTGGGGGGCTTTGAACAATTGATTGGCATCAAAGTGTAAATGCTATTTTTATTAAGAGATGACTGGGCATGTTTATTTTTGAAACTGTTTACAGTCAGTTCTTAATATAAAATAATACAATGGCAACTTTCTTTAGAATATTCTTGGGTTTCAGAGAGAGACGGGGAAGGGCAGTATAGCAACCAAATGTAAATAGATGGTCTTAACATTTCAGAATTTCAGGGCATAGTGGTAAGTCTGACTGAAAATAAAGGTTATGAAGATCATGAACCAGATCCTCAGAATCTCGCTCTAAATACTCGGAATTTGTTACATTACATATGAATAGGGAATGCTTTAAAAAAATCAGATAATCCATCTTAAACCATAATCATGTCTTGTGTTATACAGCTACAATAAACAGAAGACAAGACTGACTGGACAAGATCTAACCTTTCTGGAGTAAATTATTTACTCAACCAGTCATCTATTAACAAAACTTAAAGTTCAACAGTGAAAGTTGCTATGCACAGAGCTGAGGTCCAAAAAATTTAGCATTATGAGTGTTTATTTTTATTGTGTTTTCTTAGTTGCAGTGACCGTAGTGCAGAGCTGGGCAAAAGTGTTCTGGTTTATGGAGCAGAATTCCTGCAGCATGGGGGCATTGTTTATGCTGCTATCACACTGATTAGTCCACTTTTTTAGCCCTTCTGATCATCTGGTCACTCCACAATTTTCTTAAAGCATAAGGACAGAAAAGGGAGAGTTGTTCAAAGCAATGCTGTAGAACAGACTCAGAATACCTCACAAAGAGATCCCCCATGGCATAAAATACATGAATATGGAACTCTGTCCTACACTTCTTCACTAGCCTGAGATACTATGGAAGGTATATATGGAATTCCTATGATTCTGGAGTAGAATTGTCCATGCATTGTCCATTATTAATTGATTCCTTTAATAAAGAAACAGGACACTGCACATGGCCGGTATTGAGGAAAAGTGGAAGAGAGTGCATTGAGGCATGCATGGAGCTTCCATGGATGAATTTAGTTCTTAAATTTGTCCCACTTATTATTGCCACATATGAAGTTTCTGCCATGGAAGTATAATAAAGCTGCCTAGAGGTATTCTACTCTGTGTAGCTGCCCCTTTTCCCAGCACACTGCTTGGAAACCTCTTCCTCTTTTCCGCACCCCCCCCCCCCCACCACCACTACTGAAGGAAAGCAGCAAGAGCCTGGGAGATACTTTTGATGGGAGGAGGAGAGGGAAGAGACCACATGCTGTCCAAGTAGAGATACAACTATAGTCAACGTTCTCTCAAGAAATTCCATTACTAGTCCCAGTGCTATTATTAGTAGAGGAGTGGTCATGTGCACACACAGTACTCTAGAATCTGTGCGTAAGTGATCAGACAACAGCAAACAGTAAAGAACAAGGGCAACTAAAAAAAGTGAATAAATGTAATTTTTGAACCAGCTGTAGTAATCTCCCACGAAAAATTATAAACAAATTAGTTTGTTCAACTCACTTCAAAAATGTGGCATAGGGAACAATCCTTCATTAGCAGGGAGATCAGTAAGTGATCTCACTGCTTTATTGCATTTTTAACATCTGTATACTGTGGTTCTGCCCCTCCATCCCCATCACACCAGCACCTGTGCTGGGGAGAATCCACCCCTCTCCAGAACCAGCGTGTTAGATCCCCTTTATGCCATTCCAGCCCTCTTACCCAGGTAAAGGGATCTGAGAAGGGATAACAATTTGGCTCTCAGTTACACCAGTGTAAATTGACAGTAAGTCCACTGATGTCAAGGACTTGCTCTGGATTTACATTAGGCTAGCTGAGAGCAGAATTTGTCCCTTAAGGTTTAATGCCTCACTCTATGGTAAACTTAAACTAGTTAAACTTTCCTCTTGTTAACAGACACGTTAAAACAAAAATGTACATATACTGAAAACAACTTTGAGTTATTCAGACGTGTAAACTGATTGTAAAATTCCATTTGTTCAAGAAATGAAACTGAAAACAAGAAAGTCAATGGGGCTCTTTTCCTTCAACACCAGTTCATAAGAACTATAAATGAACTGTGTCAGACACTAATGGATTCTGTCCTGAACAGAGAAACAGAATTCAGCTTTTTTTTTTAAATCAAACTACATAAAATATTTAAGGAAAAACTAAATGCCTAAAAAGGTATGTACAAAAGGGTTTAAAACCTCGATTTATTAATTTTAGAGAGATAATAAAAGCTATTTCTCCAGGTAACATTTTTGTGTTATAATTCAGTTTGCCCTTGAACAGAGCTGGTAATATAACACACCTGCTGGTGCTGCAAGGTGTTATCTATTCCAAGAGACAGGCATTCATATGCTGAAGTACTCTGATCATTAGGTAACTTATAATTCTTTTTGAGGGGGATCAAAAAGCTAAGGTCTTGGGCATTTTTAAAAAGCTTAACAGCTGACATTTTAAATCTTTGCCAAATTATTCAAGAATTGTTCTAACACCATTAAACCAAGCCTGGTTAGAATATTGTCTCTGTCACAAGACAAAGAATAATTTCTCTAGATTTTATTTATTAGTAGTATTTTCTTTTCAGATTTCAGTCCTTCCTTACATAACTTTGATCCACATTAAAAGCTGTACAGGAAATGTACTTAGAGCATTAACAGATCTATTTAAAATAGTGTTTACTGAATTAATCATCTTTTAACTATTATTTCTGTAGAGGTACTCCTGATTTACAGCCGGGTAAGTGAGAAGAGCAGATTGCCCATTTTCTTTTTTCTCAAGCTTTCAGCCTAGCATCCTGTACAGTAAATGCAGTATAGCTATGGTGCACTCTCATCTAATGGAATTTCTTCTTTCATGACAAGTGCCTACAAGGAACAAATGTAACTTTTTCCCTCTTATCCTCTTCTTTGCATAGCACATATACTGAAATGGGAGTGGAAACAACCACTATCAGTTATAAAGGCTGCAAAACAGTTTCCAATGTAAAATTCCATTTTCACGTCATAACTTAACCTGACCTCTCATGCAAACTTAAAAGGAAGAGCTGGGCCATATTTGCCATGGAATTTTTGTTAGGGCTTCCTGACCCTTCCCAGCAAATCTACAACAATTTGGTTGCCTCTAGGATACAAAGGGGCCTCTTAATTGGCCAAGAGGATTCAGTCAACTTAAGAACATAAGAATGGCCATACTGGGTCAGACGAAAGGTGCATCAAGCCCAGTATCCTGTCTACCAACAGTGGCCAACTAAAGGTGCCCCAGAGGGAGTGAACCTAACAGGTAATGATCAAGTGCTCATCTCCTGCCATCCATCTCCACCATCTGACAAACAGAGGCTAGGGACACCATTCCTTACCCATCCTGGCTAATAGCCATTAATGGACTAAACCTCCAAGAATTTATTTAGTTCTCTTTTAAACCCTGATAGCCCTAGCCTTCACAACCTCCTCAGGCAAGGAGTTCCACAGGTTGACTGTGCACTGTGTGAAGAAGAACTTCCTTTTATTTGTTTTAAACTTGCTACCCATAAAATTTCATTTGGTGGCCTCTAGTTCTTATATTATGGGAACAAGTAAATAATTTTTCCTTATTCACTTTCTCCACACCACTCACGATTTTATATACCCCTATCATATCCCCTCTTAGTCTCTTTTTTTCCAAGCTGAAAAGTCCTAGCCTCTTTAATCTCTCATCATATGGGACCCGTTCCAACCCCCTAATCATTTTAGTTGCCCTTCTCTGAACCTTTTCTAATGCCAATATATCTTTTTTGAGATGAGGAGACCACATCTGTACACAGTATTCAAGATGCGGGCATACCATGGATTTAGATAAGGGCAATAAGATATTCTTCGTCTTATTCTCTATCCCTTTTTTAATGATTCCTAATATCCTGTTTGCTTTATGGCTGCCACTGTACACTGTGTGGATGTCTTCAGAGAACTATCCACGATGACTCCAAGATCTCTTTCCTGATTAGTTGTAGCTAAGTTAGCCCCCCATCATATTGTATGTATAGTTGGGGTTATTTTTTCCAATGTGCATTACTTTACATTTATCCACATTAAATTTCATTTGCCATTTTGTTGCCTAATCACTTAGTTTTGTAAGATCTTTTTGAAGTTCTTCACAGTCTGCTCTGGTCTTAACTATCTTGAGCAGTTTAATATCATCTGCAAACTTTGCCACCTCACTGTTTACCCCTTTCTCCAGATCATTTATGAATAAGTTGAATAGGATTGGTCCTAGGACTGACCCTTGGGGAACACCCCTAGTTACCCCTCTCCATTCTGAAAATTTATCATGTATTCCTACCCTTTGTTCTCTGTCTTTTAACCAGTTCTCAATCCATGAAAGGATCTTCCCTCTTATTCCATAACAACTTAATTTACGTAAGAGCCTTTGGTGAGGGACCTTGTCAAAGGCTTTCTGTAAATCTAAGTACACTATGTTCACTGGATCCCCCTTGTCCACATGTTTGTTGACCCCCTCAATGAACTCTAATAGATTAGTAAGACATGATTTCCCTTTACAGAAACCATGTTGACTTTTGCCCTACAATTTATGTTCTTCTATGTGTCTGACAATTTTATTCTTTACTATTGTTTCAACTAATTTGCCTGGTACTGACGTTAGTCTTATGAGTCTGTAATTGCCGGGATCACCTCTAGAACCCTTTTTAAATATTGGCATTACATTAGCTATCATTGGGTACAGAAGCCGATTTAAAGGACAGGTTACAAACCATAGTTAATAGTTCCGCAATTTCACATTTGAGTTCTTTCAGAACTCTTGGGTGAATGCCATCTGGTCCCGGTGACTTGTTACTGTTAAGTTTATCAATTCATTCCAAAACATCCTCTAGTGACACTTCAATCTGTGACAATTCCTCGGATTTGTCATCTACAAAAGATGGCTCATTTTGGGAATCTCCCTAACATCCTCAGCCGTGAAGACTGAAGCAAAGAAAGAACTTCCCATTGTAGACAGCTGCCTGGGAGAGCACTGGGCTATGTTGCATTTCTCTCCCAGCTGCACCAAGTGTCATGGGGCAGAAATGCTTATTGGGTATGTTCAGACTTTGGTTATCTCCTGGAGGTCCTTAGCACATTTAGGGTTATCCCACCTCTCCTTTTCTAAGCATCCAGGAGACAAGGCAGGCCAGACAACCAAAAAGGAGTACCCATGGCTAACAGGGTGGTGTCCCAATCACAAAGATAGCAGAGGTCACATTGCTCTGGTGGCCAGGTTCTGTCCCCATATTGCCTGGGTCGGTAAGAGAGTCATGGGCTGCTTTCCTCAATTAGGGGGCAAGGAGAAATGACTGTGCAGTTGCCACCACAGCTTTTCCCTATACTCACAGCCTTCCCCAGTAGATATCCCCAAGGTGACTCCCCAAAATAATAGAAAGTTATTCAGGAACATGGTTAGCGAGTAACAAGTGGGGCTTGTGGCCAGGCCACTGGCAGCCAATGCTACATTGCCCCCAATAAGCAAAGGAAGACCACCTGGGAACAGAAGCCAATGAAGAGAAGGCAGGCAGGGTTATGAGGGACTTCCAGTACTGCTTGGGGATGAGGAGGGAGATACCAAAATTTGAGCAAGTGCCACAGCAAGGGAAGATCAAAAATCAAAGACTATCACAATTACAACCATAACAAGGCTGCAGGTGTCAGAGGCCTGCAGGTGTCTGAGTTGTCCCTTCATATTTCAAAACAGATCAGAAGAAAGCAGGTGAGAAGGTCACCCTAAGATGACACTTGATGGAGCTCATATGCTCAGTGTATGTTTATGGAGTGTTGCACCTACCCTGCCACCCTTAAAAGTTGGGGTGTTTGATATTGCATGGGCAGAGCTCCCCTTAAGTCCAGACTTTGGTTATCTCCTGGAAGTCCTTAGCACATTTAGGGTTATCCCACATCTTTTCATTGCTAATTCTTTTTGCATAGGAAGTGCCTGTACTATAGCCGGGCAGATCACCAGGATGGAGAAGGCAGTCATTGACTGTTGGAGATTGGGGCGTTTTATGCCATACATCAGGAATTACTTAATACGAATGGGGATTCCTAATATTAAAGTTTCTTCCACTTCCTAGTTCACCTTACAATTTTGACTCTAAGAAGGTAGGAATTGTGGGACGCAGTGTTATCCATTAGGCCACCTCTCAGACAGGAACACAGCTAGGTTTTGAAGTGGACAAGGTTAATGGTCAGGTGGCTCCTGACATGAGCCTTACTCATTTGGATGGAGTTTCCAGGGTATGGAGAAGCTGCTGGTTAAAATCAAGCAGGACTGGACCATTTTAAGGCTGTATGTTTCCCAGGCAGGAGGAGCATGGTCAAATATGCTGCCAATGGAGACTAGTCTCCCTGAATTCCACTGTAGAAAGGTCCAGGAAAACATGAACACCTTGTGAATCCCACCCAAAGTGCTTCCTCACTTAGGCTCCTAAAGTGGCAGATGCTTAAGTCCAACATTTAGGCACCACTGATATTCACAAAAGCCCTACTCAGCTACTGTCTAATCCTGTAGGTGCCTAAACTCCTTAGGTCTTTAAGTTTATGGCATTAAAGACCCCCCAAGACATCTAAATGTCAGTGTCTGGGCATGCACACAGCTGCAGGAGTGGGGAGGCTGAGTGGCTAGGCTCTCTGGCTCCTGGAAGGAGGCTGAGCAGCCAGGCTCTGCCTCTCTCTGGCAGCTGGGCTGGAAGGCTCTCGTCAATGTCACAAATGATTTTTTTTTCCCCCTCAAGAACCCTTTCTGCAAAAAAAAATCTCATGTTTGTGGCATTTCATTTCAGTCCATTTCAAAAATGCAAAATTTTTAGTGGAAAGGGATGTCAGTTGTCCAGCCAGATGTAATGGGAGTGCCTGGCTCCCCACCTTCTACAGCTGTGGAGTCATTTTTGCCTAAGTTTACCCATCTTCACAGCATAGTCAAGGCCTCATAGAGCTTATTGGATCATAAAAGTATCAGACACTAACCTCTATTTTTCTTCATTCCTACAACTCTGTAAACAACAGCGATTTTTAAAAATTTTGCTCTAAAAATAATTCACCTGATTTGACATCTTTTATGCCCTATGTCATTTCCAAACCCATTTTAAGGACAGTAATATGCTTTCAGAAATATCTCATCTAAAGGAAATGCTAATATAACTCTGCAAAAATAGCATTACAGTCTCTGTACTAACCAACCTATAAAAAAAGTGTTCTAAATTCAGTAATTAAATTTCCGAAGTAACTTGTCTTTCTTTTCACCGCAGACTAATTATGTAAAACCCACTACTATGTAAGAAACAGGCTTTTTTTAATGCTATGAATCAGCCCAGTTTGCAAAGCAGTATTAAACTTATTAGCTACTGGCTCTATTATGTTAGCTTTTCTTCTCATTTCAAAGTAATTCTGTGATATTATGAAGCAAATCTACCAATTCAAAACGTAAGTAATCACTATTATCTGTCAAATATTTGAGTGGCTTTTCTGTTGGATAAAAGTAAGATTAGTCAGCTCTGTGAACAAAAAATTAACCCTTATATTTCTAAAAAAATCTTGATTAAAATTCCATACATAAGCATTAGTAAAAAAATGAATATATTGAAAATCTTACTTCTGACAAACTGATTCTTTGAGGGACAGTTCCTATAATATCTCCACTCGTTTGTACAGCTAGCCCTGCAGGAGTGCCAAGAGTCCTCCCAATTTGACTCTTAGACGTTAAGGATCTGCTTCTTTGCATACTAAGGATTCCATCCTTATTTCCCTGGTTGCTAGAGGTATGAGGTCTTGGCAACAAACTATTTGGGGTTGCAGGTCTGCTTCCTGGAGTCGATGGCGTTGGAGGCCTGTTGTTCTGCATATTGGAAGTCTGAGGCCTACTATTTGAGGTACTGGAGACCTGCGCTCTGCTGTTAGTAGGAAGCGGTGATTTGTTTTCTTGCAGCTGCAGCTGAATATTTTTCCCAGTTTGACTTGGAACTTGAGACCTTGAATTTTGGCCTAGTGTGGCTTGAAGATTTCCTGGTTGATGTGATGTAACTAAATTAATATGTGGACTACTACTTGCTTCTTCCCAGAGTGCTAGGTCCTTTTCAATGTCTGCACACAGAAAAAAGACAACAGTAACATTAAAGTAAAAAGAAGGATACACTGAGGACGTGTCCACATGGAGACTTGGTGCACAGCAAGCCAGGGTCCGAACTTACAGTGCTCTAGCCAGCTGCACACTAAATTGTCATGTGGACCCTGTGATCACGCACTAAAAGTTCCATAGGGCTCTTTGATGTTCTGCTGTTTGAAACAGCAGGTCAAAGCACATTTTTAGTATATGATAGCAGGGTCTATATGGACAGTTAAGCACAGCAGGCTAAAGTGCTGCAGATGTATACTGTCTGTCCATGTAGAGAAGCCTAACATATGTAATCTCTCTTCTTCATGATTTTAAAATTGATTTAAAGTATGAATGAATGGTGAACGCAGCTTGAGGTTGTGGAGAGAAAACCTACTCATCTCTCAGCCATCCCTGCAAATGGAAGACAGACAGAACTAACAATCCAAAATATATGTTTTTGCAAGCCATTTCTCCTTCAAAGCTCATCCCTCGGAAATGGAATATGACATCACTTTGTAATTATCTTTTCTTGATATGAAAGGCATTAAAACCAATAATAACCTCCATTATTTCTCCCAAGTTATATTCCTTTAACTTCTATGAGGTTTCTCTTTAGTAACAAATAAAGACCGGGCAAAACTCTGGCTCTGAGCAAACCTCTTGTGAGGGTGGAATCTAAACCTGATTCACAATCTGAATTTTACTCCTGGATCCTAACCTTATAAGTGACCAAACACGCTTGAACTCTGGTGTGTTTGAAATTTTGACATATTCTGGATTTGAATGTTGGGGCTCCAATCTATCTCAGCATCTAATTCCATGGAGACACAGTTTGAAAATGCACAGGCTTCACTAACTTTAGCAGAAGCCATGTATTAAAATCCAAGAGTAGAATTTGGTCCATAAAGGGGCTTCAGCTTTACACAAGCCAAACTCTCAGTTCAGTGGGAGTTTCCCTTTCTGAGGTATAAAAAAAATAAAGCCCTATCTAGGCCAGGACAATTCAGTGTTACTGAAGAATCTTTGCTTCTGAATTCATTCAAAAGCTATTTATGTTTCTAATTTACAGGTAAATTATATCATTACAGTGTGTCCAACAAAGTTAAAGTAATGGTGGTTAGGTACTTTACTATGTTAGCAAAATGAAAACCCTCACAAGTAAACATGTCAAGGAACTTGACAAGACATTCATTGAATCATCTAGTTTATGTTTCACCACAATTGTCAATTTCACACCCTCACTGGCAGATGACTCTATTTAACTTTGTTTTGAGACACACAATCAGTTTCCTTTAGAACCAACAGCAGTGTCATTTTGTTTTAAACAGTATGAGCCACATTCTCAGCAGGTGGGAACTGGTATAGCCCCATGGACTACAAGCTCTGTGTGTATAATGAAGCCTCCATCCCACAGAAAATCTGCATTGCATTTGTGACTTGACAGCAAAGACTTCAGTATACAAGAAATCCAACAGCAATCCCAAACCTGATTTTCCAATACTATAATTTAGAATCTATTCTCATCCACTTCCACCTGTGTTTACCAAAAATGCACCATGTTTATACTATACATTTATAAATTATGAGTACACACAAGTAGAATTGGTCTGCATTAAAATGTGCTCATATTTTATTAAATATTTTACTCATTTACTTTTAAAAAAATAAAAAACAAATTGTGTCTGCTAGTCTAAAATAAGGTATTCAACATGTTAGAAGACTGGTATTAGAGAAGGTAGACTCAAAATTGTCAGTGAAATCTCAAAGGATATACTATCCAGACTCTTTAGTGAACAAATGTTTTCCTACTAGCAAATTTACAAGGTTCATTATTGTTTATATATTTAGCAGACAGTTAAGGATATTTCTTATTGTTGCTTTAAACTTAAAGTAATTTAAATGAAACACTGACCTCATTAAAATCAAGCAGTTGTTTTCATTTTACCTTTTGAAATAATTACTGTATGCTTTAAAAAAAATCAATACATGTCACTTTGAAATTTGTAAGATATCTGGTTCAAATCTCAGGGGTCAACAAGCAATAATGTAAGTTTCATAATTTAAACCAAATGTGGTATGTGTTCTTTTAAATTAAAATTAACCTGTATCATTGCAAAACTCTCTAACTTCCTCGCCTTGATTCAGAGGAGATCATGCTGGAAAACTGATCTAGGATATCCATGCTTTAGTAAGAGTTCTATAAACATATTATTCTTTGTCCATGTTTCCATGATTTTAAATTAGTGATTGATTCTACAGAAAAAAGCTATTTTAATCACTTTCTCCATATATAATTAAAAAGATTTCCACAACAAAACTGTTCAGTTTTATTTAATACATACCACATCTGTTGATTTTACTGCAACATCAACTTTTCCAACTAAATGAATAAACCTAGTTTTGAATTTCCAACCCTACAGTATTATTTGATACACATCAAATACTGTAACTGTGACACGACTTGGGATTTTGTCAGAAAACCTCCTGTTAATGTTATTTAAATGAAAATAACTGTGGGTAACAGAGTGATCCAAGGGTATCCTACTTATATATCAGAAATACCAGAACAACAGTTTGATTCACAACACATTCATAAGGTTTTTAACGCATTAAAAAGTTCTTTTTGTGATAAAACACATTCAGGAAGAGGGCAGTGACCACAGAATTATTCCTTCAAACCAAACAGAAAAGTTGCCTGAATTAGCTACCAACAAAAAAGCCTCTCACCCTGTGTATAATATAAAGCTGCCACTGGACAGCTGTAACTTATGTGACTGGCATTTAGATGAAAGTATTACGGTGCAGTCCGCAGGGAATGATGGGGGCACTGTATAGGTGAAAATTTGAACCTGCTAAAAATGTTGCATTCACATCTGCTGAACCAAAACCAAATACTGCAAGTTTATATTTTGTAAATAAAGAGAACTGCCCAGGCAAGTCTACATATTCCAGAACCCCATTCCTGATACACAGACAAATGGAGAAAACCAGTCACAGGAAAACAGATGATCAAATCAGATGAACCATTCTCAAATAAAATAAAATAAAATAAAATACCTAGATCTCATATAGCACTTTTCATCTGTAGATTTCAAAAGCACTTTACAAAGGAGCTTAATACCATTATTTCCATTACACAGATGGGGAAACTGAGGCACAGGGCGGGGAAGTGACATGCCCAACACTTGGGCATGGTAAACAGAGGGAGGGCTGGACATGAGGGAGTCCCAGTCAAGAGGATTTTGTGACCCTGTACCTTATCCCTGGAGTACAGGTAGTAGAAGAAGGTTGGCCAGGGTGAACTGACCAGAAAGATTCTGTATTCTAGTATATCCAGCAACAGAGAAAAAGACTATCAAAGGAGTCTACAACCTAGTGCCAGCCCCCAACAACCCAAACAATTGGGTGAGGACAGATAAGACATTTCAGAATATCTCATTACCCTTTGTGCTGGTGCCAGAGAACTGCAATGCAGTCTGAGAGAGTTAAACGTATTTTTATTTTATAAACACATACCCCAGTTCACCTGTTTGATATTATCCTGACTGACTGCAAGGAGTTAAATCAAAGAAGGCTGTTAGAGGGGGGGAAACAGGATATAAAACAACGACAAAGATAAGGGTCCTTGAGGAAACAATGGGGAAATGATTAGACCTTCCCAGACCTAAGCCTAGGATCAAAGTGGGTATTAAAACCTTGACAATGCTGGCCTATACAAGAACGGGGATTGAGTGGGCTGTCAAGAGCTGCTGAGGGAGAAGATGCTGACAGAGACACTGAGAAGGAGACAAACTGAAGCAAGCAGACTGCCTCTCCCAACTGAGAGGTGGGAGTAACTGGGTTGAATGGAACTTACCAAAGCTTGCAAGGTAAGTTTAAAGTTTAGGTAAGGAAAAATAGGTACATAGGTCTTTTCTGTTTTTGTTTGTTTTAACTCTTTGCTCTGCATGTTTTGTACCTTTTGGGTGAATACATAATGTTTTGTTTTGAGGAAGCTGTTTTTGAGCTACTTTAAGCAGCTGCTGTCACAGGCTCCAGGAGCAAAAGTGCTTACAGGGGCTAGACACAGGTGGGCCTGTCATATTAACAGGGTCAAGAATCACAGGGGCTGCCATCTGGAGCCCAGTTCCAACGTAGCTGAATTGCATGGTTGACCCTTGAGAAAGATGCAGGAAGCCAGGTGCACTTAAGAGAGCCATCAAGAGGTGCACTTAAGAGAGATAAAAAGGAGATGTCTAACGCGCAGCTCAGCCTGAAGCCATGTCAATGGTACATTATCACATCACCAGAAGCAGCAGGATCAAGTGGAAGATTTCTAAATTCCACTGTTCCACAAAGGCGTGGATGAATGGGAAAAGCTAACTTTGCTTTTGGTATGAGCTGACCTACACCAAGCCAGCCCCCAATAAGTAGGGGGAAGGAGCAGGCGTGCTTTCAACCCCAAAAGTTTATAGAAAGGTAAGATGCCCCAAGAATTTGCAGAAAAGGCCTTTTGGGCACTCTGACAATCATGATGGGGAGGAAACCTCCTGGCCTAAGATATCATTGGGGGAAGCAGGCTGTCGTAACTATAAGGGGAAGGGTAACAACCCTCCTGTGTACAATACTATAAAATCCCTCGTGGCCAGAGACACCAAAATCCTTTTACCGGTAAAGGTAAAAGGTAAGAAGCTCAGGTAACCTGGCTGACACCTGACCCAAAGAATCAATAAGGGGACAAGATACTTTCAAATCTTGAGGGGGGAAGGCATTTGTTTGTGCTTTTTGTTTTGGGGGTTGTTCGCTCTTGGGACTAAGAGGGACCGGACATCAGTCCATGCTCTCCAAATCTTTCTGAACAAGTCTCTCATATTTCAAACTTGTAAGTAACAGCCAGGCAAGGCATGTTAGGTTTATCTTTGTTTTCTCAACTTGTAAATGTTCCTTTTGCTAGAGGGTTTACCTCTGTTTGCTGTAACTTTGAACCTAAGGCTAGAGGGGGTTCCTCTGGGCTATTTGAATCTGATTACCCTGTAAAATTATTTTCCATCCTGATTTTACAGAAATGATTTTTACCTTTCTTTCTTTAATTAAAAACCTTCTTTTTAAGAACCGGATTGATTTTTCCTTGTTTTAAGATCCAAGGGGGTTGGATCTGGACTCACCAGGAATTGGTGGGGGAAAGGAGGGGAAATGGTTAATTTCTTCTTGTTTTAAGATCCAAGGGTTTGGATCAGTGTTCACCAGGAAATTGATGGAGAAGTCTCTCAAAGCTACCCAGGGAAGGGTTATAGTACTTGGGAGGAAGATATTCTGGGGGAGAGGTAGACAGAGTTTCCCAAATAACTCATAAATAATTTGGGTGGTGGCAGCAAAACCAGATCTAAGCTAATAGTTAAGCTTAGAGGTTCTCATGCAGGTCCCCACATCTGTACCCTACAGTTCAGAGTGGGGAAGGAACCTTAACACAGGCATACCAGCAGTCCCAAATGTTGCTAAATGGGCTCCCCGGCTGCACCTAGAAGTTCAATTAAAGGAGTGCTAAGTTTTGAAGCTTCTCCTCAAAAAAAGACAGGTAAATGCAGGTATAGTGGGAGGGAGGGTATTTAATTAGGCTAAAGACTTTTATACATGTGGATGTGTCAGATATTGGATGAAACAAATGCAAATTACAACTCTTTGTAGGGATTTTCACATTTGCTTACTCAAGTCCAGTGCTACAAAGGGTAAACGCATTGTGTGATATCACCTGAGACTGTAATGATATTGTATATTTTACGGAGGGGGAAATGGAGGCAGGTATGTAATTGAATTATCCAGGGTTACATAGTAAACCAGTTAAACAGCTGGGATTAGAATTCAGGAACTCCTCACCCCTAAGCTCAGGATGCCTGTATTTATTTCCTCACTTCTAACCTGCAGAAGCAGCAGAGTATTCGGATCCTATAGTTCTGTGGTTACTAAGGAAAAAGTGATCTGAAAATAGGTTTATATCATAACTTACCTTTTTGTGCATGTGCCACATCTTCATGCCTCCAATGTCACATTTGTTAAAAGGCAGGCTTATTATTTTCTATGGTGTGGTCATGAAGTGGCATGACATGCAGCACGTATATCATAGGCCTGCAGGGCTGTATGTATGCCCTTTAAAAGGATGAATACTGCAAAAATATTTTCCTGTTATTCATTGTTTAATTTAACCAATCATTCAGAGTAAAATGGAGTTTATTCTACAACTAAAGGGGTGAATGTTTTGAATCATTCATAAAATATTTAAAGCTGAAGCAAGAAAATACTCATTACAATGAAAAAAAGTGGAAACTGTATTCTAAATTTCCCAATGCATTTTTCAAGAAACAATGAAAATACTTTCACCCAAACTTTGGTTTACTTTATTGTACTCATTGAAAAATTACTACTATCACTACTGTAGCAGAGATTCTATTATACACAATGGCCCTAATCCTCATCAACCAGAACTCCCATTAAATCTCACAGAGGTCCTCGCTGGCTTATCCCTCAGGCCAGTCTTTTATTTATTAATACACTGGTCTGTTGAAGTCTTTTGGAAGATTTATACCTTGGAGGTCTAGCAACAATAATTCACTACCACCTGAGGTATTACTGAGCTATGGGAATAAATATGTAATGAAATTGTCAGGATAGTTTTTTAATTACCTTACCATACACAGTCAAGTTTAAAATCTTTTGGCTTCAAATACATGTCTTTTTTCCTGTTCAACAAAATAGCAAACGAAGAGAAAGAGAGGTTACAATTCAATTTCTCATCTACTTTTGTCAGTGTCTCAGCCAATGTTTCCTCTCCTTACTCACATGAGTAGTCCAACTGATTTCAGTGGGTTACTTGGGTGTATAGGGTTTGATGTTTTATCAATCCTTGTCACTATACGCACCAGCTAGATGTTTTTCCATGGTCTGCAGTTCTTTTGCAGCTAAGGAGTCTTTCAGGAGTTTCTGGCTTGGGGACCCTCCGTTTCTGGCGCACATGACATCCAGGTCCCAAACAGGTTGATGCTAAATGCAGGTAAAAAGAAAGGGGAATACTAGAATCTTTAAATGTATTTTTACATTTATATCTAAAGTAAAAGAAAGTTGGAATGATATGTTCTCCTAATTTAGGTAATTAAATGGTGCTTTAAAGTTTAAAGTGCAATTAATAAAAATGTTAGCTTTATATAAAAATATTCATTGTGAAACTCTATTTAATTTAAGGTACAGATGGGTAAGAGATGGATTAGATTCAAAATATCTAGTAGTTTTAAGCAAAGATATACCTGCATAGAAACTGGTGCTCAAATTGAGGCAGCATATCAGGCCAAATTTTTCAATGATTTACATTCTGTGTAGTCCCACTGACTTTAGTGGCATTGCACTCACTTTAAATCAAAATAAAATGTGGTCCAATATCTCTGCAAAGCAGCACTTCTGGGAATATCTCTGCATTTCCTAACCAACATTTCCAATACTGTTGTATCACTGCAAGAAGTGTTCCTTTCAGGAAAGATAACTAAATCATGGCAGCATTATAAGCAGTTTGGAAGGGATCCTGGCAAGCAAAATATCTACCCAGTCATTCGACTATTGAACACTGTGATATTCAGAGTTACCTACAGGTTTTTGGAACTGTTCAACGTGCTTTTAAAAGATGTCTTCAAAAATATAAAACTATGGAGATAAACTTGATAAGTTTGTATCTGTTTGTTTGAGATAAACTAAAATATATGACCAGATGTTCAGGACTTAGTCATAAAAACAATGGGCAAAAAGCTCAATTAAAACATATCAGAACAGAGTTTACTTTATTACATTGCCAAAATATTTCATCCAAAGACCTAGTTTTTTTTTAAACAGTAAAAACTAGTTATATGTACTGTAGTCACCTTTGCTATTTTTCCAAGAAATAAATATATTCTTTAAAATACAGTTATACAGAATATTTTATATTTCAGATCTATTCAAAACAATCAACACCACCTTTTAAGTATCCAACTCCTGTGAAGCATAAATTCTTTGCTAGATTTGACCATACAACTTTAGAATGCTATGTTGATAAAAAAATATCTAAAACGTAAAGGTCCAGATTTGCATAGAAAAGAGAAACTGGCCTTATATTAAATCATATCAATCAACACTATCAAAGCTGTTCAAGATTTTAATTGGCATATTTATTTAGTGATGTGATTTTTGGAATGATGGTACCATTTTCAGTTTGCAAATTTGCTTCCATAGCACTCCCATTTTAATTAAAATTATTCCTATTTGGTCCCAGGTATTAAAGTAGAATATCTGGAGAAGACCATAAAGTATACACATTTAGATCTGATCCTGCTAATTTCAGACAGATGAATAGCCACCATTGGTCCTGATCCTGAGAGGTTTTGAGCATCTGCAACTTCAGTGACAGCTGTGAGTTCTCAGCATCAGACACAATGAACTCATTAGGACTATTCACATGCATGGAATTACTCACATGAATAAATGTTTGAAGGATCAAGACCATAGTTATTTAGTGGCAGATTCCAATATTTTTACTTACGTTGAATAACACCTTATTTTATGAGCAGTTCAATTAAAAGCAACAGGGCTACGCAGGGCATTAGGAGCTAGTCCGTGTGTTCATTGTGGGGAAAGGGATCAGAATGTGGCCCTATGTTATAGTTTTTATATTGATTATTTAGATATATTTTTCCTTATATAAATGTCCATGTATATGTTTGTGTATGTTTATGTATGTACTCAAAGACACACACACACACACACACAGTATATGTCTTTGTAACTATGGAGATGTCATACAATTATGCACACAGACTCCTACATGAAGACATACACCGTTTATGTGAGCACACATATAAATGACATAAATATGTATGACTTAAAATATATACACCCATATATTTACATGCATTCAGTATATACCCATACACATTTTCATTTATCCAAATTCTTCCATCAACATATTCCTTCAACTGCCAGTGAAGTCAATGAAATAACTGAGGGTAGAATCTATCCCACAGTTTGTGATCAGTTTATTAAATGCTTTTGCAACCCACACACCTTCTGGGTGTGGTGTTCTGTCCCATCTAGTAGCACCGAGACCACTTAGAGTTAAATGAGTCTGCTCTACAGCTGTAGCTAACAGGCAGTTGGCTTTTAGCTCATGTGGTAGAGGCTCATGAACTAAACTTCAAAGGACCCAGGTACAATCCTGCCCGCCGACGACCAGGGTCTGTCAGTATTACACTTTGTCATGTTTTGATGAAAAGATCAAGAGTACATGCAGCACCACAAATATCAGTAACTACAAGTCAGGCCATAATGCGCCAAAGGCCAAAACAATACTGCATCATTACTTACTGAATACATGTGGTACTATATATTTGAAATTTAGTGACAAACATTGTAAATGACCATAAACATAAAAATACATTCATTTGATAATGATATGAATGAGAATGAAAACCAGCACAAACAAGCCAAAGGTTATTATGATAATAAAATGTTGTGACTCTTGTGATCATTCTCTGATTCTGTGCATTTCAGGGACATACCAAAGTAGGTTTCAATCATTTAGGAGGAAGAGCAGGGATACCGATTTTTCATACATGGCTTTGGATGAAAATGAATTATGTTTTGAGGCCCACATTCACTTCGGAGTTTGCATTAGTGTAAACCCTGCTAAGGGTCCCTAGTGTTCCCATCACACAGCTGTGCCAGTTCCATATGCTGAGGAGCCAGGATAGCTTGAAAAGTGGATGGTGATACCTAGAAAAGGGGGCATGACCATGGTGGCTGGAAAGTATGCGGATTCATGGCTCTAGCATGATTTAAAGCTGCTCCTCCCAAAGCCTTAGGGCAGATAGCAGCAGTAACACTATGTAAGTTAAGATAAACCCTCAGGGTTGCGAGGCACTTTTGCTGGTACAGCAAGGTGTAATTTACACCTTCCTGTGCCACTTTACAGAACTTAGTCTTATTGTCTTTTGGCCAGGTATAGTACAAGCAGACCAATACAAACTTGCAAGCATAGTGTAACTTTACTCTGAAGCATAACAATAGTGGAGCCAACTAGTGCTATAATATAGCCTCTTGATCTCCTTAAAAACACATTCCAGATTATTTCTATGCAAACATTACAACTTCAGTTAATTCAAATTTTAATCAGCTGTGACAATGGTAGGTCCTATCCAGCTTATTCCTTTCAACCTGGTAGGTTGGGTCAGTGTTGGATATAAATATGGATGCTTTTAGTTTATTTAATATCTTCTTTGCCATTATGGTTCCAAACTATGCCTTATGTTTAATGTTTCATTACATTTTACAAATGGATGTTTACATTATCAAGGAGTTTTACACCTCAATAAAAGGAAATTACTGAAAAAACATCCTTGTCATTTTTTCTTATGGAAATCACATTGGGCCCCATTCACCAACTTTGAACCAAGGCATGGTGAGGTAATATAGCATCATAAAAATGTTAAATCAATATTGTCAAGAGATGTGCCAACTTTGAAGGTCAGCCATATGTCACTATTTTGCTAAGGTTTTTTCCACATCTTCATTATGTCTTCACATACAATATATTTATTTTTGTATTCTTTACTTAGATCACTTAGCCAACAAATACAAAGGAAGAGGCCAAAATGTAATCAGGGCCTTAACTAGTTCATTGCATTTTTGAAGAATATTGTAACTTAGTGGGGCTGGAGTGGGTTAGGGGAAATTGGCTATAGTTATAAATTGCTCATGTTAGCAAGAGTTTCTTTTAGATGTCATAGTTCATGCTTCAGACTTTAGCAGCACATTAGCTTGGTGCCAAAAGTCATTGATGATATTCCTGTTGGAAGAAATATGATACACATTAAGGTTCTGATCCTGCAATTGAATGTACTGTCATGGACCCTCACACAGATGTGAAGTCCCACAGACATCTATGGAGTTCTGCTCAGGTGAAATGATCAGATGCCAGAATCAAGGCCTAAGAATTCTCAACCTCTAATATAAACTGCTTTACCAGAACAATGTAGGACACTCCAAGAGGAGAAGTTGGCTTCCAGCAGAAAGCATTCCTTCATCTTTTAAGAATCCCTTTTATCAGAGATATAGAGCAGTTTAACCTGTGATTTTCAGGGAGAAAATTTTTCATTCTAGACCACAGCATCCCTTCTGAATTCATAGAATAAGAAGAGATTTTAAGATGTGGAGGTAGCCTGCCTTAGATTGCCAGCTTCCCTGCAGTCAAGAACAATTGGCTCCAAGAGCAGCTTGCAATGAGTAATTTTTGAATGAGGATAAGAGCATAGAAGACAAATAAAAGAAAGAAAATTTCAAGTGGAACTGTCTGGTTCCAATAAAACCAAGTTATTTAAATGGAAAATGCAAAAATATTAGAATTTGCCTAGGATTGCATTCTTTGTTTAGTAATTAGTTCCTGACAAGTTGGAAATATAAATAATTTTTTATTAAACTTTATGTTATGCATATTTTTGTCCATTAAGTGAAAGTTTTATTAGAAGCTTCAGGAAATAATACCACAACAAAGAAAAACACTCATAAGCTTTCTCATATGCAATTCACCAATACATATAAAAGTAAACTTAAATAGAAACATTTGTCACAGATGACTCCAAATACAGTCAAATAATTCCATTTTTCAACAAATTATCTGTGAGTGTGCACTTGTGATTAATCCTGACCAGGAAGGTGAGAAGGATGGTTGTTATTCAAGCAGCTAATCTTTCTGCACAATATTGTGTAAAGGTTTTTCACACAACATTCATTTTTCTATTAGAGTTCACCAACTGTTTAATCTTTCAGTTTCCACAATCTGCTCAGGCACACAGGGTGAGCTAGTCAACTCGGTTCTTAAGGTAATTTAAAAATAATAATCCTCTTCAAAGCTTTGTTGCATATTGGCAATCACCTCTAATCTCTATCTTCAACATTAGGGCCCGTTCTACTTGAAATGCCATGTAATTGAAATTACAAGCTTTCTGCTCCGCGTGGCAGCCTGC